CTAGGCTGACAGTTGTTTTGTTTTAGAGGATTGTTTAGAGGATTTGTTCTGGTTTGAAAATTTATTTGCTTTTCTATTAACAAATCTTGATGAACATTTCACATTTATACAGAAAGAGCAGATCCCATTCTTTTGAACAACTGCGTATCTTTGTATGATGTTGTACACATGTATCAAATCACTTAACCATCTTCTACTAATGAATATTTACAGCTTTATAATTCTTCACTGACCATCTTAGTACATACTTGCAAGTATATACCTGTAGGAAAAAAATTCAAAGTAGACTTACTGGAAATGGAATTGCTGTGTCAAAGAATATGTCCACTTAAAATTAAGAATCTTGTGTTGTTCTCCAGAGAGCCCAGGGGCAGTATACCACATGTGTCTGCTTTCCAGATGTGGGAATTATTATATTTGCCAATTTGATAGGTGAAAATGATAGAGGTTTTAATTTGGCAATCCATTAAGTAAGGTCGAATGTTACATGTTCATGTCCTTTGATGCTTCTCAGGGAATCCTGGTCCTGGTATTTCTGAATTCTAAAGCTCCTTCTTCATTAAGGAAATGAGCACTTTGCCCAGTGATACAAATATTTTTCTTTTTTTGTCTTCTAACTTCTTTATGGAGTTTTTACTATATAGATACTTCTATTTTTATACATCCAAATGCATCAATTTTGTGGCTTTTATATGATTTACAAAGGAATACTCGTAAGCATATATAGCTGCTGTCCTTTTTTCCCCAGAGTTTCATCATTTTATACTTATGTCTTTAATCCGTCCATCTAGAATTCAGGGGTGTCCAACCTTGTTTTATCTCTGCCATTGAAAGAATAAGAGTTGTCTTGGGCCGCACATTAAATACAAAAACACTAACGAAAACTGATTAGCAAAAAAGAAAAAAAATGGTCTCTGGATACTTTTCATGATATCACATATCATGATAGCACAGATAAGCCAAAAAAAGTCCTCAGAAAATTAACATGTGGCCCTTGGGATCGTAGGTTGGACACCCCTGAATTCTAGATCATAGTTTGGCATGAGATAGGGAGCCACTTTTGTTTCTTTTTTTAAAATCTAGATAACTATCCAAATGTCTTTTTCCCCCTTTACTGTTTTGAAATGTTTTATTATATACTCAATCCCTTTATTTGATTTAATTTTTTGATTTTAAAGATTTTGTTCCATAGACTTCCTTTGAGCCAGTAGACTAGTATATATCATTTATGTTTTTTGAGACAGAGTCTCATTCTGTCCCCCTGCATGGAGTACCATGGCTTCATCACAGCTCACAGCAACTTCAAACTCTTGGGCTCAAGCAGTTCTCTTGCCTCAGCCCCCCAAGTAGTTGGGGCTACAGGCATGTGACAACACACCTGGCTAGTTTTTTCTATTTTTAGTAGAGATGGGGTCTCACTCTTGCTCAAGCTGATCTTGAACTCCTGAGTCTCAAGCTGTTGCCCTGGGTAGAGTACCGTGGCATCATGGCTTACAGCAACCTCCAATTCTTGGGCTCAAGTGATCCTCTTGCCTCAATATTTCTATTTTTAATAGAGATGAGGTCTTGCTTTTGCTCAGGCTGGTTGCAAACTTGTGAACTCAGGCAATCCACCTGCGTTGGCCTCACAGAGTGCTAGGATTATAGGCATGAGCCGCTGCGCCCAGCCTATTGTTTCTATTTTTTATAGCTTTTCCCTGGGTATTCCTGATTGTCCTCCCATATGAGCCTTATAAACGCTTAGTCTAAAATAGATTCTAACTTTGAATTTACTACAAGTTCACAGATTTTTAAATAAATAAAAAATCTCATTCATATATGCCCCCCATAAAGGAAAGGATTATTGCTTCTGGATTTCTCACTGGTCTTGTATACCTTCCTCTGATGTTCTATAGTAGAAGTTGTCTTGATTTTAATTCTATTGGGAACCCTCCTGGAACCTTAAAAAAGAAAAGAAAAAGAAAAGAACTTGAGTCAAAAGTAATTCCTAGAGCTATTCCCCTCTGTAACATTATTGAGGTTCGTCTGGAGATTTTCTTAAAATTATTACTTGAATGCTTAGTACTACTGATTGCACTGTGGCTTTTCTGTTACGGTGGGCCTTCTCACACTTGTATGGTAAACATCCTTGAAAGCACAGGGGTGGTACGGTGAAAAGCAAGTTGTGTCTCTGTATGTAGGCCAACATATATGAAATCTATGAAAATCTGTGCCCCTAAATCATAGTCTTGCTGTGTCTCAAAACAAAGCCAGGGTCATACTTTGCTATAATCACTGGAACTTAATTATATAGCACCCTATCCAATAAACACAAATGTATTGTGTGCTAATCATAAAAGAGGCTACAGAGAGCTACTAGGCATGTAGGGAGTACAATAAAAAGAACTGTTACAAATCTGACTTGAAACCAAATGCCTGCTGCAATAAACATTAAGTAATTCCTCACAAATTTTGCTTGGTGTCTGTAACTTAAGAGTGGTAGGATGGTGTAGATCAGGCGTCCTCAAACTATGGCCTGCGGGCTACATGAGGCCCGCCTAGGACATTTATCTGGCCCGCCGGGTGTTTTTGCCGCAGCTGCCTGTCCTGCTTAGCAGCCGACTCCTTCCAGGGCCTGTAATCTGGCCCTCCAGTGGTCTGAGGAACAGTGAACTGGTCCCCTGTTTAAGAAGTTTGAGGACCCCAGTGTAGATGGCCTACGACTTTTTAACACTATCCAAAGAGGTTTGAAGGTAAGCCTTTATCTTCCACTTGACCAGTATTGACAAGTGAGCAGCAGAGGACTCTGATCATGACATCAACCTGCTACTTTCTGCCTCAGCCCAGCCAAGAGCGCCTATTGCCTTTCTGTTGACTTTTGCCCCCTCCCCATAAGTGAACTCATTTGTGGCCTTCTCATTCACTCCTGTTAAGGGACATCCTTCTTCTGCCTTTTTATTACATTTTATTTCTACTGCTAGAACTGTCTGTACCACATGCTGCCTTACATTGAGACCTTGTATTTTCACCCTCCTCTTGATAGGAAGCTGGGGAAAGCTCCTCTCTGTGTGCCCACACAGTGCCCTGACACTAATGGGTGGGGAATCCCTGGCACCGGTGCAAGGCCAGAAATCCATGTTGGAACCCCAGGAGAATGCATGCTGATGTGTATTCAAACCCAGCAGCTTCCAAACAATGAAACTGCAGAAGTCATTGGGATGGATTTTGTGTGTGTCTAGCGAGTCAGAAAGGCAGGGGCTGGGGGGTGAGGGGAGAACTTTGCACAGTGAAATTGGAGAACAGCACCTTGACTGTTTTGTTTTGATTTTTATATCTATCCAGCTGGCATTTGACCTATGTGGATCCACAGGCACCTTGACTTTTAAATATATATATCAGTATTTGTTTTTACATATTAGAATTTCCAGAAATCCATTATATTTCCTTTTTTTTGCAAAGTCCAATGTAGTTAAAAATTACTTGGGAAACTTTGTGGTTCTAGCAGGTGAAATGTAAGAAGTGGTGGTTTTCTCCTCGTGCTCAGTGCTGCCTCAGCCTCCTTAGATAGTTTCTGTGTACTGGTTTTCAAAATACAGTGGGAAGATCACACTGCCCTGAGGAAGGGGTCGAAATCCCATGAGCTTCCAGTGCATAGATTACTTTTTTAAAATATCAGATTAATGTTAAGGTATAATTAGGTTACAATGTTTGCATTTGTTAGGAAGAGTCCCTGTTATAGTTGTCTGGAACCCAGATGGTGTGCCCAGTACCCTTACATGGTGCCCATTAGGTGGGAGAACACTAGTCCTCCTCGCTCCTTCTCCTTCCCCCCATCTTGAATTAAGTTGAGTTTTTCTCTCGTATGGGTAGCTATTAAATTGTCTACTGGCTTCATATTAGTATTGAGTACATTGGATACTTGCTTTTCCATTCTTATGGTACTTTACTAAGAAGAATGTGTTTCAACTCCATCCAGGTTAGTACAAAAGATATAAAGTTTCTATCTTTTTTATGGCCAAATAATATTCCATGATATACATATACCACAGTTTATTGATCCATTCATGGGTTGATGGGCACTTGGGTTGCTTTCACCTTTTGGGGATTGTAAATTGAGCTGCGATAAACAATCTTGTGCAAATAAATGTCCTTATAATAAAATGATTTTTTTTTTTCTGGGGGATAGATGCCAAGTAATGGGAGGATTGTGGGATCAAAGGTCTATTTTGAGTTCTTTGAGGATTCTCCATTCTTCCTTCCAAAGAGGCTGTATTAGTTCGCAGTCCCACCAACAATGTAAAGGTATTCCCTTCTCTCTACCTTAGATGACTTCTTTGATCAGAAACCTAGTTATACAAACAACTTTGCTTCTTTCTTGGATGATAGAAATACTTGTTGTAGGACAGACTACTCCCATAAGTGAAAGGGACATGGGAATCTTGGTAAGGGCACATGCTTTATTTTAGCAGGAGTGGTCACAGTCCCACTTATTGGTGAGGTCACAGCCCAGAGTTGAGAATCTGTCTGCTCGGAGGTAGAAGTGTGTGGGTGGTTGGTGTGTTCTCTGTGTGGGTTTTGTTATCAATTGGTTCAAAATGTAATTAGGGAGCCAAAAGCAGAAGAAACTTCCAGACAAAACAGAACATTAGCAAGCCATGCAGGCCCCTCACTGCCTGCATATTGTGCCTAAGGCAATTTGGTTTCCTTCACACCCACCAGCACACTCCACCTTCCCCACCCCCACATAGTTAAAACGAGCAAAACAACAACCCACACAAAATAGAACTATGAAATCATTCAACTTGGTCTAGAAGTCTGTGTTTTTGTCCTCGCTTTGTGCAGGTGCTTCTCTTTACCTGCTTAACTCATTTCATGCTCACAGCAAGCAACCCCGAGCAGTAGGTGCAATTTACCACCATTTTACAGGAAAGTTCAGAGAGAAATCAGTATCTCTGAGTTCCTTAAGCTGCTTTGCCATGCAGAAGAGAACCCTAACTCTGTCTCCTACCTCTTGTTTTCAGTTTCCTTGGTCAGAACATCCACCAAGATGGCAGAGGAGAGCAGCAGTACCAGGGACTGTGTGTCCTTCAGCGTGCTCAGCTGGGATCAGGTCAGCCGGCTGCATGAGGTCCTGACCGAGGTCGTACCCATCCACGGACGAGGCAACTTTCCAACCTTGGAGATAACTCTGAAGGACATTGTCCAGACGGTCCGCAGCCGGCTGGAGGAAGCAGGCATCAAAGTGCAGGATGTCCGGCTAAATGGCTCTGCAGCTGGCCATGTGCTGGTCAAAGACAACGGCTTAGGCTGTAAAGACCTGGACCTGATCTTTCATGTGGCCCTCCCGACAGAAGCGGAGTTTCAGCTGGTCAGAGACGTGGTGCTGTGTTCCCTCCTGAACTTTCTGCCAGAGGGTGTGAACAAGCTCAAGATCAGCCCTGTCACTCTGAAGGAGGCATATGTGCAGAAGCTGGTGAAGGTGTGCACGGACACGGACCGCTGGAGCCTCATCTCCCTCTCCAACAAGAATGGGAGGAATGTGGAACTCAAGTTCGTCGACTCCATCCGGCGCCAATTTGAGTTCAGTGTGGACTCCTTCCAAATCATCCTGGATTCTTTGCTCTTTTTCTATGACTGCTCCAGTAACCCTATCTCTGAGCACTTCCACCCTACGGTGATTGGGGAGAGCATGTATGGGGACTTTGAGGAAGCCTTTGATCACCTACAGAATAGACTGATCGCTACCAAGAACCCTGAAGAAATCAGAGGCGGGGGACTTCTCAAGTACAGCAACCTTCTCGTGCGGGACTTCAGGCCCACGGACCAGGAAGAAATCAAGACTCTAGAGCGCTACATGTGCTCCCGGTTTTTCATTGACTTCCCAGATATCCTTGAACAGCAGAGGAAGCTGGAGACCTACCTGCAAAACCACTTTGCTGAGGAAGAGAGAAGCAAGTATGACTACCTCATGATCCTCCGCAGGGTGGTGAACGAGAGCACCGTGTGCCTCATGGGGCACGAGCGCAGGCAGACCCTCAACCTCATCTCCCTCCTGGCCCTGCGTGTGCTGGCAGAGCAGAACATCATCCCCAACGCCACCAATGTCACCTGCTACTACCAGCCAGCTCCTTACGTCTCCGATGGCAACTTCAACAACTACTATGTTGCCCACCCTCCAGTTACCTACAGCCAGCCCTACCCCACCTGGCTGCCCTGTAACTAACCTGAGAGCCGAGGGCTTCCACAGTGGGAGCCCCAATAGAACCAGGGCTCTCAGGTAGGGGAGCCTCCTTCTAGATGTAGGTGTTTGGCTTTTAAAGGGGAACTCAGCTCTGATTCTGCTTTTTTTTTTTCTTTGTATACCCATTGGAATGGGTCTACAGTATACCATGAGCCAACCCTAAAGGACCCATAGTAAGTGCCACTTTGGAAGATGCTGTAGGAAGTGTGACCTATCCACATCTTTCCAAGATAGACACACTAATGTGTCAAGTCCCAAGCATTAGCACCTGGGGGTTTGAGCTCTGCAATAATTGTGATTGGGAGAGCTTAGGCCGCATATGAGAAGTGTTAAGCTGCTTTTCTTCTCACTTCAGCCTGGAGCAGCCTGTGTTGGCCCTCACCTGGGATTCTCAGCAGTTACATGGAAGCTGTGCTGATAATCTCTCATATCAGTTTTAGTCAAGCAAAAAAATGGTAAACATGAGGGTGCTCTTGTGACCCAATTTTTGTTCAAGGGACTAAATTGCTTATGATTATTCCCTGTCAGCAGAGCTGAGAATTTCTTTCATCAATAAACCAAAGCCAATAGCTGGAGAATTGAGATCTGGTTGGAAGTGGTTTATGGTTTAGATGCTGTGTGGAATTGTGAGATATTATTGAGGAAAAAATAACTTTTTCTTGAAATGTAACTTGAAAACAAAATAAAATGTGGAATATAATGTTTAAGTAGAATTGTGGTAGTGGTGGTGGGAGGGAGTGATTGTAAATAGGAAATGTTGAATGTTCATTCTTTTTTTCTTTAATGAATTCTTATTGGATGACACCTTTTTCCCCATCCTCCTCAGCTCTTTCATGGTTGACTTTTGTTTTGCTCTTCTTGAGACAGGACCGTGCTGGGTCTAGAGTTATTATGGGAACTGACGGGAAGGGTCTTCCCATGTTTTAATGGAAACCCATTTTGGTCACATTCCAAGTATGACAAACTTTTTTTCTGGAGTTCTTTGGCTATTTTTGTTTTGGAATTTTTTTTGTATTTGTTTTTGTTTTTTCAAAAATAGTGATTTCCTTCTCCAGGCATTTTTGACAGCAGATGAATTCAGGAATTTCAGTAGAATCGAGTCAACCTGTGGAACTGCCCTGGCATCCACCTGCTGTCTCCATGCTGTGTGTGAAGGTGTGGGTTAGTGTCAAGTCTGGCCTGTTCTCATTGGAGCTACCAAGGAACTTTGAAGTCATTCCAGTGTGTTTGGGAAGAGTTGAGTGAATGGAAATGATCTTCCTTATTCTGGTAGATTTGACCATACTTGTTTATATTCTGCACTTTAGAAGGAAAACAGTGTTAATCTCTAGTCAAAAGCAAACTTAGTTAAATGGAAGACTTCTAGCCACTGTTGCCTTTCCCAGTAGATTTAGATAAGAGATTTTGTGTTTTGAAACTTTTTGCAGGATCGCTTAGAAAGCATCACTTTAGGGTATCACTCAATATGCCAACCAGCTTGGTTTCTAAAATATGAAATCCATGCTTCTGATTCTTATTTTCTCCTGTGATCATAAAAAAATCCAAAGCCCTAAGTGATTGCCTTCTCATTTTAATGATCTCAATACAGACATACTTAGTAGAAAATGAGTGGTTTACCTTTTTCTAAAAATGTCTTCAGGTGATGTTTTGGTCCTCTTAAAAGCAGATCAGACGTGACTGAAACCCAAGGCATTTGTGTTGTGCTGCATGGGGTGACAAGCAGTCACTTCTTAATGGAACCAGCCCCCATTTCCCTGTGAGCCTTAGGTGTATTTATATTTGCTGGGTTTGAGTCAAGGCTGGTTGTAGGCTGAGGGAAGCCAGATTGTGTCTGTGTTAGAAGAGGGCCAATGAAGAGTGATCCCAACTTTGAAAATCCTCTGATCACCCATGACCTTGAAGAGCTGCCATTGTGGTCCAATGGCAACATATTTGCACAAAAATGACAGATTAGTTTAACCAAGCTTTGAAATGGGATGAACTCTCCAACATAGGCACTTGTTAACACAGATCAGTATTTCTTCTTCTACGGAGGCTTGGGGCCAGGGTAATGAGGCACAAGATGAGAGTTGGATCTGCATCAGGTAATTACATTTCAGTTTGTCCTTGGAGATATTTCTGCTTATATTTTTTTCCTGCCTGATAATAGTCCTCCTATGAGGATGAAAGGAGGTCTAGAAGTTTCAAGAAATTCTCAGCCAGCTTTTACCGTTGCACGATAGCCTTCTTGGTGGAGTATCTTCACTTGACCTCCATAGTCAACCCTACTCTTTTTGTCATTTGTGAATAGACATGTGTTCTAAAACTATCAGGGTAAAAAGCTGCACTGACCAAAGCTGCAGGTCTGTAACACATCTCTTGGACCAATGGTGTCTCCTCCTATTCTAGGAGGCTTTTGCCAGCCTCAAGAATAGGCTAGGTAACCTTGAACTTCAGGTGTCTAGAAATTCTAGTTGAAACCTGTCTTTCACATGGCTCATACAACCCCCAGGTACCCTGAACTTCTATTTAGTTCAGTAGCTCTTATTTTTTGTGTCGAGTAACATGAAACTTGGCAGTGGCAGAGGACATTGAAGTTCAAGTGCAAGTTCTAATCTAATTTTAAGCAGTCTCTCTTTTGTGTCATGACTCTGAACTGTTTTCTGATGCTTTCTGCAAATATGCAGCTTATTTTCCCAGCCTGCTTCTTGAAGTCAGATGAAACTAGTACCTCTTCCCCTCTGTTGGCAGAAGAGCACACACTAGATTCCTGGCCTTTGAGCTTCAGTCTGACCTTTAAATCTTACCTTGGCAGTAAGACACTATTCCTCACTCAATAATTTCAGTGCTGAAGCTAAACTCTATATCCCTAACACCTTCAAATCAGAGTTCCTGAGGACCACGTGTAGGATGTGGCATGGCCCACACCCAGGGGGACCTGGCACTGGGGTGAGCTGAGTGGGGAAGATGATGCTTAGTTCCTGCTAAATAGCACAGATGAGGTCTGGCATTCTAGTTTGTTTTCAGCTTGACTTTCTTTGGAGATTGAGCCACAGAGAGCTGTGTGTGAGCCTGTGTTTTGTAGTGATGCATTAATACTTAAATTGCCTCACTTCTAGCACTAACCCCTTACCTTTGTGATAGGTTAGGATTTTAACTAGTATTGCTTTGTTAACCTTGAGAAATGGTGCCAGTCAAAAGTAGCTACCAAACTTTATCAATCTAGCCTTTCTAGTTAACTTTCTGGTTCTGGTGCCTTGTATAAGGATGCACCTTTATTCTTAGCTCAAATACCTCTTCCAGAGAGTGCATTAAAATAGTTACCCAGTGGTGAGAAGAGAAGCTGATGCTCACTGGGGCCGTTACTTCCTGGGTGTTCAGGGCTCTACACTAGGGAGGGCCCTTGGGGTGGATTCTGTAAGCAGAAAGAACTGCCAGTTTCCAAGGTTAAAGTCACATACTTAATCTGGCAGAGACTAGAATTTCACAGCTGACTTTGGAACATATTCCAACTCAACCAGTTAAATCCGTAGGACCAAGGGAGAGGTGCAGGGGAGAGGTGTTTTAAAAGATTTGGTAACTTTTCAGAATTATTTGTAGAGACCTCTAAGGATCAGGAAGGAAAAAGCTTTTTTTTTTTTTTTTTTTTTTTTTAATGAGTTCAAGTGCCTGAATCTTGTTTACCTATCACTTTTTAAAAAATAGTTGAAGTGTAAGCTAAAAAAATGCTTGGAGTTTTGCCTGGGCCAGTGAGAGCTGGTACAAATTTGTGTGTGTTTCATAGGAAGGTGAGATGACTGTCCACCAAAGAGGAAGTAGTTCAATAATATGGCCCAGAGGGTGCTCTTTAAAAATTCAGGCTATCTGGGGTTTTTTCTTTAAATGGGTAAAAACTTAGTGGTATTAAAAACATCAATTTTGGGGTGGCGTCTGTGGCTCAAAAGGGTAGGGCACTGGCCCCGTATGCCAGAGGTGGCGGGTTCAAACCTGGCCCTGGCAAGAAAAAAATCAATTTTTTTCTAAATTAATATAGATAAAAAGATACCCATTAGGCTAAATTGGAAGCTTTTCTGTTCTATTTTCACATAGCCTTTGAAATATTTCTTAGCAGGGCCCAGGATTTGTGGGGTTTCCTCTTTGGTAATGGTCACGACCCTTCTTACTTGATGCAGATGAAATCACTTGTCAATGCAAAATGTGGTAGAACCGGATGAATTAAAGCTTTGAGTTTGAGAAATAAAGGTATATTTGAAATTAAAGACTCGTCAGTTATGCTTATTGCTTTGTTTTCCTCAATGACAAACTTATTTTAGGTTTCAAGAAACATATTGACTAGTGATGGGAAGTTACGAACATGATCAGCCTTGGATACTTCTCTGAAAGATGGCACTTTCTCTCGGGAGTGGGTGTGGTTACTTTGGAAGCCATAAACCTCTTAATAATTAGACTCTTTTTCAAGGTGTCTGAGTAACTCACACTGAGCTTTGTTTGACCCCAGCCTCTTGGCTAATACCTGTAGTAGGGGCAGTCTTGTAATCTACCTAGCTGGCAACTTGTTTGATCCAGTGCCTGTGGCTCTCAGCCTTCTTCATTGAGAAATCAAAAATAACTTCAGCCATACTAGACATAACTACAACCATAGTTTCTTCACATTTTTGAAGAAATATAGACATGAGCAAGTGATATTTGAGGACATGATGGATATCGAAGGGTACAGAGAAGTACCTTGTGTGGTCAATGTCCTTCTTCCTAATTCTTCTGTGATTCACAACACCGCCTCTCTACCCCCGAACTCCCCTCCTTTCTGTGCTGGATTTCTTACTTCTTACAGTATCCTCTGTAACTGTCACTGAGAAAGGCAGACCTTTGTGTAAAATCCTTCACCTGCTTGCCTTCAGCCTGCCCCTGCTTCTCCTGAAGCCATGTAGTCTGAGAATGAGCACGCTCAGGAGCCTGGTGGGTATGGCATCCTTGGTGAGTTGATACAGTCACCCTCTCTCCTCTGACTCCCTGCTGCCAGCCCACACCCTGCATGTCTCTTCCACTTCTCCCTCCTGTCCAGCAACATCCATGTTCACTTGACTACCTCTGTTCTGGCCATCCACTCACATTGGTTCAACTTTGGATCTAGCACTGCTCATGACGGGTGGGGTGACTTTGTCTCTTTCCTCTCCACAATTGTAAGAATTGGGATCACTTGAACAGCAATTTTCTGACCTTATCATATGTTTCATAAGCTATCCCAGGGTCTCCCTTTGTTTGTACTATGGATAACCTACATG